CTGTGAGGAAGCCCAGCTCCCAGCACTACAGGAGCTCACACACACACCACAACCAGACTGTTTCACACACCCTCCACTGCATTAACAAGAAATGTTAAGTGTGAGGCTCAGTTCCAAATCCCAAACAGTTGGATGTGGGTTACAGAGGCTGTTCCAGGGCTGGATGCTCCCGCAGCAGATCAGAGCAGTAATTAGGCTCCGGCCCCCCTCGCACAGAAGAGATGAAAGGGAAAGCAAAACTGCTCCCAGCGGGAAGTCCTTCCCCTCTCCCCGCTCCCCGTGTCCCGCTGGGATACTCACAAGTAATAAATCCATGGTACTGAGTCTGCATAGTTCCTGATTAATACTGGGAGTGTTGGTGTGCAGCAGCGCCGCGATGAGCCGGGAGCCGTGGAGCCGCGCGTTCCCCAGCGGCTCCTCCAGCACCCCGATCGTGGTCAGGATTGCGGATTTCTGGGGGAACAGGGCAGGGTCAGCTCACCCCAGCACCCCTCAGGGCACACACACACACACGGGGGGGTGCTCCCCAGGGGGCCCAGGGACAGCAGGAGGAGCAACAGCCAGAAATTAAACCACAAGTTCCACCTCAACAGCAGGAAGAACTTCTTCCCACGGAGGTGGCAGAGCCTGGAACAGCTGCCCAGGGAGGGGGACGAGTCTCCCTCTCCAGACACATTCCAAACCCACCTGGACATGTTCCTGTGTCACCTGCCTGGGCAGGGGGGCTGGATTGAATGGTCTCCAGAGAGCCCTTCCAACCCTGGCTATCCTGGGATTCTGGGATTTCACAGAACCAGTTCCTTTCAGGAATGTTCCCTGCAGGGAAACCTAAACCACCCTCCCAGTCCTGTGACCACTGGGAGACTCTGACTTCCAAATCTGAAGATTAAAACCCAAATATCCACTAATTCAAAGTTCCCTCCTCTTCACCACCCTCCCTCAATCCCCCAGTCCCACGTGTCTGTACTTCCTGGATTTCTTGAGCACAACAGCTCTCAGGTTCCTCCTGCCTGATCCCTGAGCCCCTGAACTACCACACTGGAGTGTGGATTTTCCTCCCCAAGCCCTCTGTCTGTGGCAGCCTCCTGCTCCTGGCAGTGCCCAGGGTCTCTGTGTGCAAGGACAGGGCCAGGCCTACCTTGGGTGGGCTGAGCAGCAGCTGGTGGAAGTCCTTGAGCCGAGGCTCGATCCCGTGGAGGATGCTGCTGTTGACAGTGTAAGACCTTTCGAATCCCTGAGTGTACGAGTCCATCAGTCCTTCCACCCTGCCAGGGGAAGAGCAGGACAATTCCCTCGGGATAAATCTACCACCAGATGGTATCACACGGTCCCACAGGTCCATTCCAACCCCAGCCATCCCGGGATTCGGTGACTTTGTGATAATAAATCACTGCCCAACTTGTTCAATCAGAACTCCACTAAAACAACTTCCCTTCACACCTCAGTGTCCACTGAGGGGGAGATTTGATAAAACCTTACAAGGGTCTCCAGTCTCACTGGCCATGTCAGTGATTGTCTCTGAAAAAATAACTGTCAATATGAAAAATAATAATTTCCAGCCACTGAATATATTTACATAATATATTTACATATGTTATATTAATATATCATTTACGAGATGCTCTTCACATACCAAACCTGATATCAAACTGTGTCTGAGGTGACAGAGACACATTCCTGCTCTTTAAAAGTTCCCAAATATTTGAGAAGCAAGTTAACTCCAAATATTTGTTAAAAGCTGTAAATCCTCCCCAGATGCACACAAAGACACCAAGGGATGGAAAGCCCGAGGGGTTGGAGCTGTGCTCATCACCCCTCTTCACTGGCAGGGAGTAAATCACAACAGCTCTGTCACCCAACTGCAGTAACACAAACACTCTCACTCCATCAGGGAATGTCAGGAACGAGCTGGGCAGGAATCCCTGAGCCCCCAGCTCACACAGCTCCAGGGATCCCAGGAGCCAGCCCCAGCACAGTTCCTGGCTCAGTCCCTTCTCAGTTCAGCTCTACTCGAGACCTTCTGACCAACACCTTGTTTCCCCAGTGCCCCCTCCTGTCCTGCTCTCCAGGGCCTCTTCCTGAAGCTCCATGATCTTCACCCTTCCTGATCCCTCCTTTTTGAACATTGAGATGTTCCACGTCTCACTTCCCTCCACAAAACTCTCTTTGCCCTTTCTCTCCTCTTTCTCCATAAGAAGAAATAAAAGGGGACATAACTTTTAAAAACAAAATTAGAACTATACAGTCACACACAGAGAATCATGGAATTGTGGAATGGTTTGAGTGGGAAGGGACCTTAAAGCCCATCCAGCCCCACTCCTGCCATGGGCAGGGACACCTTCCACCAGCCCAGGTTGCTCCAAGCCCCATCCAACCTGACCTTGGACACTGCCAGGGATCCAGGGGCAGCCACAGCTTCTCTGGGCACCCTGGGCCAGGGCCTCCCCACCCTCCCAGCCAGGAATTCCTTCCCAATTTCCCATCTAAAGCTCCCCTCTTCAGCTTAAAGTCATTTCCTCTTGTCCTGGCACTGCTTGTCCTCGCAGACATTTCTAGGCAGCACTTCAGACAAGCCACAAAATGTCCTTTTTGCCCAAGGAAACTGGACTGGGGTTCCCATTCCCGCTGCTCCTGCAGGGAAGGAATTCCCACTCACCCGGAGCGCCGCGTCTCCAGCAGGGTCAGCAGAACCTGGGTTCCATTGACGATGCAGTTCTCCGTCTGCTCTCCATCAAACATGTTCCTCAGGAGCTGCTCCACACATTCCTGCCTGTGGGGTGACACAACAGGGTAAGAATGGCACGGACTTGGCAGCTGCTTTCATCACCAAACACCCACGTGGGGTCTTCTGGAAGAAGAGGGCTGCCACATGGATTTAATTACTTGGGGAAGGAATAAAGACACTCCCCGGTGACGTCCCAGGACGTGACTGGTTCTGCACCCGCTTCCTGAACCTGGGCACTGATCCCTCAGGCAACACCTGGCTACCAACACCCCGACTCCAAACCAACCTGTCCTTCTCCTTCAGCACCTCACACTTCTAACCTGGAACACAACCCCAGTGCCAACTCAGTCAGTGCAAGTTATTAGAGACAAGGTGAAGCTACTGCTGATCATCCACAGTTATCCACCAGAACCACGGGAGGACAACACAGTGGAAGAGAATCCTTCCTGAGGGGCACAGTGAGAGCCAGGGCTGGACACTGCGGCCAACAAGGCAAATGTCAGTAACATCCACACTGCAGGGGGCTCAGCCACGATCCCCTTCCAGAATCCCAGGATCCCTGGGGTTGGAAAAGCCCTCCCAGCCCATGGATCCACCCTGGGCCCCATCCCCACCTTGGCCCCCAGCCCAGAGCACTGAGTGCCACAGCCAGGCCTTCCTGGGACACCTCCAGGGATGGGCACTGCAAACCTCCCTGGGCAGCCCCTGCCAAGGCCTC